ATGGCATTAGCTATTAGCAATTTTATTATTTTTTTATATCTTATTATAGATTACACAAAATGAAGTAATTTTTTTATTTTTAAAATTTTTTAATTAATTTAAATTTAAAATTTAAAATCTTTAATTGAAAATTTCAAAGTTTTAATCATTAAGTCATTTTATGAAATAATTCTATTTATCTCTAAAGCTTAAATTATTGTAATTAAAGATTGTTAAATTTGTTATTTTAATGGCAACTTTATTGGTTTATAATTTTTTTAAAATGATTAATTATTTATAAATTATTTTTATTCTATTAAATAATAAATATTAATTATTTTATTAATTATTAATTATTTTAATAATTAAATTAGAATAAAAATTTAATAATTTTAATTACTTTAACAAAAATTATAATTGCTGCCATGGCCATATCTCATTATCAAAACTGTTGTACCGTTTAAAATCTGCACCCTACTGACTGGGACTCTCTGGTATTGTCGCCTGATTCAACCGTATTAGAAAAATACTCTTAGCTTGGCTAAATACTTTGTAGGACAGAAGATAAGACAAGTATTGAGCACACCAGGCATTGGATAGAGAGATTTATATTGATTATCCTATCTTTATTATTTTATATTTTATATTTTATAATTTAATAAAATTTAGATCATAAAATATATATATATATATTTTTAAGGAAAATAAAATTTCTCTCCAAGCAAAGAATCGAGATTTCCACATCAGGTCCAGTGTATTTTTGGAAAATTAAGTGTAACAAACCCTTTCAGTGGAAAAGGAGAGTTCGAGTGAGGTAACTTTCATGGGCAGTGATTGCTATTTGAGAAAGGACAATAAAATTTCTTCGCCGACTAAGTAAGTTACAGTGACACCACATTTTGTCTGGGCACCATCCACGACACTGTTGTCGACAAAATTATTACTCCTCTAAACCATCAATTTGCGGCATTAATTTCAACCAAGAAACCAAATTGCTCTTACGTCCGAATTCAGTTTTATGTAGGGATGTATAGTGTTTGTCTTACCATTCGCCATGTATTGTTTTAATTAAAGAAGCAGAATCACATGTGCTGCTTTCAGCTTAATTTTCTGGACAAGTACTTTAGGTGGGGCTTCATTTCTTAAATGTTGCAGATGGGATAATCGGACGTCCGTGGTGTTACCGGAGGGGGACATCTTTTACATTGTAGCGTTTTTGAGGTCTACTGTATACCCAAAGGGACCGGAGGTTGAAAAATTGGTTGCAAAAAACCGTGAGATTGTACAGGTGTGCCGTGAGAAGGGATTGGATTTTAAGCTGTATCTTCCTCAGTACCAATGTCAAGAGGATTGGAAGCGACACTTTGGGAATCAATGGAGCAGGTTTGAGGAGAGGAAACGGGTTTTTGATCCCATGGCCATCCTTGCTCCGGGACAGAAAATCTTTAAAAGGAGGGTTTCTCAATCTTAGTACTCATATGTTGTTCAGTTGTGTCCATTTTTGTGAATTGAAAATGAATGTTCCATTGCATGATCAATATAAAGATAATAATAATTCCGACCAAGAAAAGAAATTGCTTCTCGTCGTCGTCAAAATCATAACTTAATGCAATTTGGACATGTTACGTATATGCTTCAATTAAAACCTACATTGATTGATGTTTGGATTCAGATAATTTTGATTACTTCAACTTTACAACGGGTTCAAAAATCAAAATCTTTGTCGAAAGACGCAAACAAAAGGTGTGAATTTGGAATCGGATTCTCTTCTCCTCCAAAAGCTTTTCTTTTTCTTTTGTATCCTTACCAATTTGGTTTTGTTTTTCCCTGGGGCCGGGGTATATTGTTTGAGTTATTGCAAATCAAATCTACTTGGTTTGCATTGCGTTTTGTTTGGCTTCTTTTCCTTTTGCCCTTTTGGCTGTATGAAAAGGAGAGAAAAGTTAAAAGTACTGAAAGAGGTCCCAAAGAACAGGCTTTACATCGCAATTATAAAGATCATGATTTCTTGTAAGACTCAACCCACCAATCAGTGAAGCTTTGCCCGTTTAATCCCATGCAGCGCATCCTATACGTCCTTCGGTAATCGTGTCATGCACCGACGTATTATTTTTGTTTGGATGCCCATGCCCTGTATACTAGAAAAGTAGAAATTAAACAATCAATCCACGGTCTCCTCACTTGAAACAAAACTAGTTGGTATTTTTTTTATCCCTAATGTGTCGACCCTACATCAACTTGAGCAGCCCTCGTGATTAATCTCTTCCAAACAATTAATTAATCTTAATGACCTGTCCTAAATCAGTCTCCTGAATTAATTTTTTTAAGTGTTTGATTCTAAAACTTAAACTTACATAAGAGAATTTATTGTAAGACAATCCCGTTACTTTAAAGGCACTTCATCACCTAGATAACCATAGTTTGAACGTTTATTCCTTTCCCCCCATATCTTTGCTTTATGAGGGTTTTAATCAGTTAACAAGTTCTATTAAAAAAGGAACAAGATAAGTTTGTTATTAATCATATTTTTAGTAATGCATGATCAATTCATTTGTCTCTACAATTGTCCTAAATTGTCCAATTGATTTTTGATGGTAAAAAAATAAAAATGAAAGACAAAGGATTGTTTTGCCCAAATTAAAATTTCCATGAAGAGAATAAGGTTTCCAGCTTAGTGCATGAAAGCTACTTTAACCACACAGCATACATGTTCATTTTGTCTTTTGTTAAGCATTTCTTGGCATTTTGGGTTCTGTTTGGATTTCATGACCCTACCCTGCTTTAATATTTGATTCTCCCATTTGGGTAGCGGAATGCACACATTGTGGGAACTGAAATGGGCTTATATTTTGTGTGAGAAATTAGGCTCAAACATATTGTCCACCGGGTTTATCTGAGCCGTGAAGCAATAAGCGATAAAAGCCTGTTGTTTTCTGGCCCTTCTCAGCCAATGCTCGAGATCCGTGGGCCATCTTCACAGTTCACCCGCTATAGAGTTTATGGGCTTTGGCTAACAATTGGAGTTGTTTTATTTTAATGATATATGTTTTGCAATATAAAATAGACATTTATTCACTATAACTCTTTATGTAACTTTAAATAATAATTTTATATAATATGAATGAAAATTAAACTTTTTTATTAAATAAAATTACTCAATAAGAAATATAAATTAAAATAAAATAATTTTTAATTGTAATTCATTATGTTATTTTTTTTTTTTAACAAAATTACAAATATGGGGGTGGGGGGAATCGAACCCAGCCATCAAGCTGGGGGAATGCACCTTCAAACCAACCTATGGCTGTTAGGCCGTGAGGCAATTCATTATGTTATATAAAAATACTATTATTGCATAAAAATTACTATAATTAAATAGGAGTTAATTATATAGTAGAAAGATTAAATAAGGATTAAGGAGGGAATAGTTAATTAAATAATCCCCCAAACGAAGTCTACGTGATGTCCTCTTATGGGCGATTATTGCCGCAAACTTCCTTTTTCTTTTTCTTTTTTCTTTTAAGGTTACACATTAATTTTTTTTTATTTATAGTTTTCTTTAAAAAATAGTTAATTATGAT